CAGGAGGAGCCCAGCAGAAGTGAGCACTTGTCCCTTGGATCCAAGGAGTGTGCAGAGACCTGCAGGCAGGCACCAGGAGCCTGCTGCTCACTGCCACGGAGACGGAAGCTTGCGCTCCCCCTCCCTGGCAGCAAGAGGTGGGAGCTGAAAGCCACTCTGTAAGCATGTCATTTTTATGCCTCACCATTTTGAGAATCTCGGTGGTGGTGGTGGGTTTTGTTTTGTTTCTGGGAAATCTTTTTTCTGATTGAATATAGCTGAGAAGCAGCTACACAGGCAATTTGGAAACGTAAGATCCTGCTGCTAGAGCCAGGCAGCTCTCAAGGGCAAAGCTTCAGTTCCAAGCAAATGTGTTTAAGGCTTTGTGGTGTTAACAGTCTCTCCTCTCCCCCTTCAGATAAATGGAAAATTTCTGTAAGCTCATAAGAAGCCAGGTGAAGGAAAACTTCTGATCCAGAAGAGTAGGTGTTAAGTGTACAAGTCCAATTACTCTGCTGATTAGAAGCCGTTTAGCACCAGTGGCACTACATCCAGTTAAAATTAGCTCAGGTTCTGGCCCATAGTGTCAAAAAAAAAGACCATTAGCATAAAAATGTGTTTAAACATGGAAAATCTGTTTTCAAGTTTACCTTTAAGGTCAAATTCTGTGCTGCTCAGAGGAAGGAGGGCAGGGTAAGATGTTGGGAGATAGATGCTGCAGTGACAGGGGAGCAATAAAAACTCTTAAGGCAGAAAAGGATTTTAACAGCTATGCCCCTTGCCTCAGGAATCCTGACCAGAGCAGGAAATCTGTGCTGGACCATCATGGGCAGGGCAGCTCACACTGGGCCATCTATTACTTCTGCTCTGAACTGCAGTGTTCTGCATGTTGTGGATTTTTACGACTACAATGTATGGACTAGACAGCAGGAGGTTTGGGTCTGTAACTCAGCAGATGCTGACCCCAGGACAGAGGGGCTGGCTCTGCAGGTGGCCCCACTGCTACAATTTCCATTGCTTCTGGGAGAAATTCCGCTGACACAACCAGAAAAACTCCTTTCTGCCCTCAACCTAGGAGTAGTCAACACACACGCCTGGTCTCACACACACAGAGAGGCTAGCAGTGAGTTTAGCATGTGCCACTTCATTTTCTAATTGAGTTTACCAGAACGATCATGTTCAATCCAAGCAGACCTTCACGTTTCCATTTATTTGCTTTAGGAAACCTTGACACCAAAACTGGAGGGTTAAAAATTGATCCTGCCTGGATATAAAGCTTGCAGGCAGGCAGCACTAACACTGCTAATTTTAGAAACTCACGTTGCTCAAACTTGGGAAAAAAAAAACCCCACTCTACAGAATATTCCCCCTTCGTTTCTTTATCATAGTAGGACTCTGGCATCAAGACATCTTTTGCTGCTTCTTTGAAGTGCATCAAGCTAGAACAGCTTGACAGTCCACATCCTGATGGAGAGACTAAACTTTAACATCAAGGATTATGTTGCTGATTAGCACTTCCAATAATCAAGTAATTGGTATATTAAATAATCCAGAGTTTGGCAACTTGCCCAAAAAGGTCACGCTTGCATTGATTCCTTTTCAGAAAGTCCATGTTGCCATTACATGAATTCTATCTGCCTGTCTAGAACTCTAGCATAAAAAATATTTGGCTTATTTCCTTCTTTTGATACAATTTTATGGGAAATAAAATCCAGGAAAAGTTGCACATTAGGGCAATATGTTCAGATTTTCCAGCTAGGGTAGGTGGGGAGCAAGAGTGAAGAAGACAACTCTCTGGACTCTTTCTTCTTCTGGTTTAGCACATCCAGAGCAATCAACACAAACCTCCAAGGGCCCAAGTCAGGACAATTTCTGGTGCAGCTTCTACCCTCTTTGTATTTTAGTAGGATTTCTATGAGGCTGAGCCCCTCATGAGGGATCTTCCCCACAGCCAGACTGCTGAAGGAGCAGGGTTTTACCTCCACCCTTCCCCAGGCGTGGGCAGGAGGAACTCATGGGAATGGTGGAGGTCAAGGCTGTGGTGTAAGGGGCTGCACCCATGCTCTGCTCCCCCTGCTCATCCCCTCTGTGCAGACACAGGCAGGTTCTGAGCCCTGAGCAGCCTTCACAGACAGACTGCAGAAACCTAAGCAGGCCCTCTGCTCCCCTGGACTGGCTTCTACCAGCACTCGTGAAAGGAGGGCTCTGCATGAAACCAAAGATTCCTCGCCTCAAATCAATCAGCAGAGCTGCACAATTCACTTGTGTGTGCCTTGAGAGGCTCAAAACCCACCCCCATTTCACTGAGGTACCCAGTGGAATGAGCTGGTTATCACGCTGTTTATTTCTGCAGGGTATTTTGGGTGCCCTCCTTCCTTTGAAGCACACGAGCATCTCGGTCTCCTCTCTCTTCTGCACAGAAGCTACGTCGTTTCTTCTTGTGGAGAAAGGAGAGGATGACCACAGACTCACTAATAACTCTGCCACACCATGCTATGCCACTGCACAAACCCCAGAGGCATGGCTGATGCCCAGGCTGGGCTTTTTTAACTTCCAGTGCCTCTAGGGACATCTCTGACCTTGCCAGTCGCCCTAAGTTTCCTTCACAGCAGGGAGAAACAGGCACTCCTAGAGCACAACTCATCTGAGCTTTGTTGTTGACTTCAGGATGATCTCAGCTGCCTCTTTGAAGTGCCTGCTTCTCTAGGGTGATTTTAAAGAGGGCTTAGACAATTAGCTCAGCTGTGTCTTCATTTCAGATGTCTATATTGGGTCAGACTAATCTTGCCTGGCAACCTGAACACTTTCCTGCAAGACAACCCTGTACACTGAGACAAAGGAATATATCAAACCCTTGGTGAATGGGAAAATGGTTATTTCCAAGGATAACCACAGTGCTAGTTATTGACATTTAGATAATCCAAAGAGAGGAGGACAATAACTTTGAGATAAAGCATCCTTCTTGTCTTTTCAGTGCAGCTTGTTCAGTTTGCCCCCCTCCTCTGTCAAATACTACCCGTGAAGTGACCTCACGTATAATTGTGTCAACGGGCAAAACCACACCACTCAGTGAAGCCAGAACTCCCTCTGAGTTCTAGGGCTTTGGCTCTGAATGGTGCTCAACCCTTCTTGGGATCAAGACCTTGGAAAGGTGGCATCACTGCAGCCTGGGTGGTCTGGGCAAGCATAAATAGATGCTAAGAACCAGCCTGTCTTTGACTACAGTGCGAGCCTCTTATCATTGTCTTGAAACAAACAGCAGCTCTGGGGAGCTGGAGGGAGGTGGGAAAGGATGGGTTAACCACGGGTCTCCTAGAATTAAATAAAAGGGATACAGTCAAATTAGTGGCCTCCTCACTAGATCAAATTGCAATCCCTAGGTAAAAGCACGTGTACATTTATGAAGAGACAATCTTTCAAGCTCCAAAGGTGGCACACTAGGCTTTGCAATAAAGATCCTGCTGCTGAGAGGGACATGTAGTCCCTCCGTACCTCAGGGGTGGGTATGGGCATCCCCACCAGCAGGGCCTGGGAGTGTGTAAGGATTTGAAATACTCATCTGACTTCTGAGTTACTGTATACGTTGGTTTTTAGTCCAAGAAAGTGACAGTTGTCCTCTGCTCTTACCAACCTATCTTTTAAATGCGTCAGAGAGCAAAGAATCCAGTTCCACCAAAGAGAGGAAATAAATAGTTTGTGAGCAAGGGAAGCAGCGTTTCCAGCACTGCTCTGACAAATAAAGAGGGAGTCCTGACTGTGTTTTGCTATCCCTGATGGTGCAATCACCCTGCCCTGATGGAGCAGGGAGATGCTGACACGGCCCAGACGTGGTTTCAGGTGCCAAGCCCTCCAAGGCCACGTTCGCTCGGCACCGCCGCAGCCGCCCCGTTTGTGCCACCAGGGACGGGGATTCGCTGGAGGCTACAGAGTGTTCCAGGGATTGCAATGAAATCTGGCACATCCCCAAGGCACATTGGGCAAACCCACAGTATTTTCCTGCTCCACAGACCTCTCGAGACACCCACCACGTCCCTGTCCCTGGAAGCAGCTCACCATGCTGGTGAATCTAAGCAATTGTTTCTTGCTCACAGGTTGGAAGCAGCTGATAATTAAACTAACCAGTTTTACAAAGGTGCTGTTTTATCACAGGCTGGGAATAGGCAATGAAGGGTGGAGGGGTTTCTGCCTCTGGAGCATTGTCCTTGGACAAGCCACAGTTGTTGGTGGACTCTACCCGTGTCTCGTCTTTGCTTTGCAGCCCTACCAGGGACCACATCTAACAACCACGGGGCTGAGGGAGACCTCACCTGCTTTTCTAAGGTGGGAGACTGGCATCACAGGCAGATACCTCAGGTAAGAGAGTTGAACCCCACGACACTGGGGTTGCTGAGATAAGCTAGAGCAGGCAGGTCTCCCAAGGAGCAGGCAGTCCCTAAGCACCCATACTTGAGAAGGAAAGCTCAGAGAGGGGTGGGGGTTCACACCCCAGAAAACAGCCTGGCTGAAAGCCAAGGTGCAGTCTGGAGGCAGACCAAAGAGAGATGGTTGGGAGATGACCATTTGGTAAGTCAGCTGGATCTGAGCTAGCAGGAAGCAGCTGGGTTGTCCTGCTCTGTGCTGTGCTGTAGGGCAATTTCAATCATCATCATGAAGGCTTGAGCTGCTGCGTTAACTCAGCTGGAATAAGTAAGCAGATTAATGGCCCAGACCTAAACCATGTCCTAGGCAGAAAACCACTGACTTAGACACACACAGCACAGTAATTTCACAGCCAGCACCATCACAGAACATTCTGTGAGCAAAAGTGTAATGAGGCTGCTGACGGATGGCGTTCTGACAAGTGCAGAGGCTACAACACAAAGAAAAAGGACTAAAACACAAATGCCAACAGTTTTCTGAAAGTGCAGGTAATTCGGGACCTGTATCTTGTTCCACCAAGGCCACATCCACATGAGTTTGGCCTCAACACCTGAAAATACTCACTCTACTCACACAGAAGGCAGCAGTGATCACACGAACCTTTACTTATTCTGATTTCGAATTCGGAGACACCTCCTTTTCAGTGGTGGCTCCAGATCCTCTGGCCCTGTGCTGAGCATTGGCGCTGAGATAATGCACGGCGCGATCGCAGCCTTGTCTGCTGGTTTTGGCACAGGCTGGATCACACAACCTGTCTTGGGCAGCATCCGCAAAGCGTACGCATGGTCCTCGTCTGCTGGGTTGTTAAGGTTCGGGTCCTGTTTGTCTCCCCCAGCAAGGGGCTCCTCCCCAGCTTTCTTGCCGGCGTCTCCCTCCAGGTGGCAGTTGGACGCGCAGTTGTTCTCCTTCACGGACTCCAGCTCGCTCACCGCCAGCTCCTCGGGGGGTGGGGGCTTTTTGGGCTCCTGGGGTGGCTCTGGGTTCTTGGAACCCTCCGTGCTCTTGGTGCCATTCACAATGACGTTGCACACGGCTGCACCAGCTTCCAGTCCCGGCGTGCCGGAGGGCAAGGAGACGGGGCAGCAGTGAGCGCCGTCACCGCACGGCAACGTTTTTGAGTCAACCGGGCTGCAGTTGTCCCTGCAGTCACTGCAGTTCCTTTTGTCTGAGCTACCGAAAGCCAAGTTTACAACACTGTTAGGTTCACGTTCCACTTTCACTTGGGCGTGCAAAGCCCTGTGGATGACATTGTGCAGCCTAGACCGGTGCCCTACGGTGAGGTCTATCACACCGTCCTGCGGACCCTGCAGGACACTGGGGAAACCAAACTTACTGCTGACTGGACTGCCAGGTCTGACAGTCAAGTCAACCACTTCATTTTTACTGTGCTCCTGCAGCACTTGAGCTTGATTGAGGGACTGGCCTGAGCAGCTCGGGGACGAGTCGGAGGATTTGGACGATCCTTGCTTGGACTCTCGAGGGGACGAAGAGCTATTGGTTGGCTTTGCCCCGGGCGTCTCGCTGGAGGTACCGGGAATGAAGCTCTCGCCGTTGCTGGAGAAGCCGTTGGGGGGTTTGGAGTCGTTGATGTGAGGGATGGGGATGGGGATGGGGATGGGGACAGGCAAAGGGACAATGACAGGATATGGCACTAGTAGAGTCGGGGGTGGCACCAGCGGGGCGAGGGATGGCAATCCAAAGTTCATCATCTGTGGCATAGGCATAGGACCATTTGGCATCATGCTGACGGGGGGGAAGGGGAGGCTGGGCAAAGGAGCTCCAGGAGGGGGAGGTGGCAACAAGCCCGGAGGATTCCCAGGCATGGTAGGTGTTGTGGGAGGATGGATGTGAGGGGAAAGCATCGGCCTGTGCATGGGGCTAGAGGTGGGACCCATATTTCTGGGACCACCTGGCGGGGGACCGATTCCAGGAATCATTGGGTTTGACAGAGGGCTGTTAGGGTTGGAGGCATGGTGGGGCGGCCCACGGATAAACGGTGGACGGATTTGCTGCATAATTTGCTGCTCCATGAATATGGGCAGAGGAACTGGCCCACGGTTTGTCATCACCATGGGAGGGCTGCGAGGTGGGACACCAATTGGAGGCACAATGCTAGCAGGTGGCTGGACAGAAACCGGCGGCATATTTGGATTCTCACTGATGGGAATAGGTTTGGGAACTGGCGTGGGGATTTTAGTGACAGAGCAGTTGGCAGTGTCAGACGGAGAGGCAGTGGTAGACGCTGATGGTCCAGGACCTTGAATTTGGCCAGCTGCAGACACTGGGGATGGGGCTTTTCTCCGAGCATCTGCTAGCGGTATATTCCAAGAATCTGGAGTCAGCAGCTGCACCCCAGTGCCTTCTGCTTTATTTTCGACTGGAGGATGTAATGTACTGCACAGTCCAGCTGGAAGATTGGCCTGTGTCTCTTTGTAGAAAATGTCCATTTTGTACTGATTGAGACATTTTGCACTGCAGAACTGAAGCCTTCTTTCCCCGTCCCCAAAATCCAGATACTCTTTTGTGTGTCTTATGTGCTTACACCAGTCACATACCTACAACACAGTAACAAAATCAAATCAGGTAAGAAAAGCAATCTTCTCCTCATAGTGTTATTTCAAAAGTCATTTTTTCAGTTGCTTTCTAAATACATTCTTTTTTAGCAGGAAAAAAAAAAAAAAAAAGGTTACATTAGTGAAAACTATGCTTTTTTTTTTTTGCTCCACAATATTGGTGAATTGAAGGCCACTCCCTTTTCTGGCTCCCATGATCTCAAATCTACCTTACATGATGTATCTTAAGCCCACACCACAGAGAAGAATCCTCAAACTGTTCTAGCACGTATATGTAAGGAGAGAAAATCCGTCTGAGTGGTAATTTAAGCACACCTGTACTGCCTGGGGTGCCACGCTATACAAGAAGTTTGGTAACTGGAAAAGGACTCAGAAAGTTGCTGGAAATGAATGCAAATAATTTCTGCTCAAGCGCAGCAGACTGTAACACTCAGTTTTCTATTAAGGGTATCAAATAGTCAGTTGGAAAGGGTGAGTTGTTTTAAAACGGCAACACGAAGCAAAAAAGCATCATTCATTCTCTGCCCTTCATTCCAAGGAGGAACTTGGAAACAGGCAGGACATTTGTGTGAGGTTTGAATGGTCCCAATTCGTGACGTTTCAGCAAGCTGGAATTATTTCCTAAGCTGGAATGATGTCCTGAGCTGTTTGCCCACTCTTGTGTACGAGTCACTTTGAGTAAAACTTCTTGGCAAGCAAGGGCCTATTTATCAACTTTCCAAATACTACAGCAAAAAGTTTGTGTTGGGGCTCATTTGTGTTTTGTTTTGTTTCTCTGCTTTCCATTTAATCCATTTTTGTGTTACTATTGGTGTGGGGAAGGCACAGCCAACTTTTTTTAAAAGTAAGGCTGCAGAACTAATTAAGCTGTGAAAGGTTTTCCCAGTTGTAAACCACTAGACACCAAAGTTCAAAAAAAATAGTCATTCCAGGCTTCAGAATCCATTACTTCAGAGAAATTATTGTGATTTCATTAACACATTAATTTTGCAACACCAACAGCTCTCACAGATGGTGGAGACATGATCTACAATTCAAATATGACTCTTGTTTGCACAAATGCCTTTCCTTCATATGGCATTTTAAACAAGAATTAATATGAGTAATCTTGCCATAGCTATAAACAGATAAACAGATGTCAGATTTTTCAGTGCCTTACTTTTTTGACAGAATTTTACACACAGAAAAAGAAAAAAAGGAAAAAAAACCCCAACAACCCCACGACATTTTTTTGTCATTTACATTAGTTCTCAAAATACTCAGTTGAGAGAGATTTTTGGTGCTTTCTATCAGCATGTTCAGCCTATGACCACGTCAGGTTATATCCTGCTATTGTTTGTTCTGCCTTTTCCAAATAGCCCACATGAGCTGGTTTTGAAATGACTGTATCTTTTATACAAAAAAAAAGGGAAAAAAAAGAAAGAAAAGAAAGGGAAAAAAAAAAAGAAAAAGGATATGCTTGTGAAAAGACTTGCATTAAAACCATAATTAATTTTAATAACTATTGGCCATATAAACAATTCCAAACAACATATGTCAGGCATCTGATTACCCATCTTATTTAACTCTCAGCTTTCTTTAATAAAAACAGTGGTGACATTTTTGATTTTCCAGTGATATATCTTCAATATATACACAGACATATACACACCCTCACCCCCTATATGCTATGACTGTTACCCTGGTCATTTTATCTCTGCAACCTTCTGGTTGCTGGTTGTGTTGCTGTTTGATTCCCTCTCCTGCTTCCCCACGCCACCCATCCACTCACACACAGGTTCCCTCTTAGCTATCAGAGAGTTCTTATCCCAACGTTTGAATCAAAATAAATAATGACTGAAGACACAGCAATTCTTAAGCCTGAAGTTTGGGAATGCAGGGTGCAGATTTTCAGCCTGGGCACATGGACACAGCAGAGGGTGCTGCTCGACACGGGCGGCGTTAGGACGGGCACAATCCCAGTGTGATGCCCCGTGCAAGGAATAACATTTCCTGGAGTGTTGCAGGCTGGGCCAGCCCTGCACTGAGCACACACTGAGGATCTAGCACCCTCAAAAACGTGAACTAAAAGGCTGTCAAATGCACAGAAGAGTTGAGAGAAACCCCTCAGCTGCCAGGGCACACGTGCCCCCCAGGTCGTAGGGCAAATGGGGTGCGTGGAGGAAGTGGGGGGCACCCTCACTTCCAAGGGCTCCTGGGTTTTACCAGGCACTGGCTCTCCCTCTGCTCCTGTCAGGAAGGCTCAGCAGCCCTGGCAAACAGCACCAGAGCTGGGCAACCCCTCCACACACACAATGGGCACTGAACCATCCTGGGGATTTGGGGTGGCTCTGGGTTTTGCCGCCCACCTGGCAAGTCAACACAGGATGATCTGATGGAAACACCTCACAACTGACCTCCTGAAATGTTCTGACTTGCCACCGTTTGCCAAGCAGAAAAAAAAGGGAATTTGAGTCTACACTGCAAGCCAACAGGGTACTATTAAACTCAGTCAAACTGCTGTATTTACCTTCAAGTCACTTTTGACTGAGAGCTCCCCACTGTAGCCACAAAGCTTTGCCTTCTGCACGGACAGAACCAGGATGCAAAGCTCTGTGCTCCTTCTGCCACTGGCAGGGTATGTTCTTACCCCAGGGGCTGTGCAAGGAGGCAGAGGGTCTCCACATCTGCTCCAAGAGCTGCTCAAAGAGGCACCAGCAGCTCCCAGCTGGCTCCCGAGGCAGCTGGGGCAGGACAAAGCCCACCTTGGCCATCACCCACCAAGAGAGTGTTTGCTTGCAGGGGAAAAACAAGGAGACCAGGCCTGGAGGTGGCTGCTGTAGGAGATGGGGCAGGACCCCAGGTGAAGCTGCTTCCCTGATTTAGTCCTGGGATGGTGCAGCTAAGACCTGCCCTTCCTTCAGGGCAAAGGAAACAAACCAATTCGTAACCCAGCTGCCAAAGAAGCACCTGAGAATCAGGAGAGAGCACACTCAGCCTCCTTATCATTTTGGGGGGAGCACCCTCTGTGACTTTAATTAAACAGACCAAAAGAAAAATACAGCCCCAAAAAAAACCCCTCGTGGCACCTTTTCTAATAACTTAATTTTATTAGTTATCGGTTGAAAAATTCACTGAAATACTTTAGTCTTTTATTGCTGTATTGATTTGTTTATTTCAAATGGGCTCCTAAGTTACTCCCAGCTAAATAAACACTTTCTCTTCCTGGGTAAAATATTTAGAAATCCTGCTCAGAAATTCTCTACTGATTTCTCCTGTTTTCAATAATTCACTGTGGTACAAAAAACTCTGCAGGCTCCTTGCCTCACTCACATATTGATCACAGACTTTTCTGTATATTTTATCACTAGATAAAATTAATTAAAGCAAATGAAATGAAAGCAGTGATTCTGTTCCTCTGAGCACCCTGGATGGACTGAAGATCTAATAATTTTTCCCATTGATTTTATGCAACATCTCCAACTGTTAAAGTTAACATCAGGGAGAATGTCTATCTACTGCATCCCTGTATTTCACTATTATCTATCTATCCATCTATCTATCCATCTATCTATCTATCTATCTATCTATCTATCTATCTATCTATCTATCTATCCATCTATCTATCTAAGCACTCAGTCTATGCTGCTTATTTAAGTTACAAGTATAAAATGTGCATGTCATGCACGGGTAATAAGACACCTTACAATACCACACTAAAAGGCAGAAAAACAGACAAGGAGGAAATTACTGGAGGAGAAAAAGTGTCACTTAAGAATTAATGAATCAAGTCTGTCTTCCAGGATTGATCATTTAAGATGAGGTCAATGAATTTATGATACAAATGGTTATATCACTGGAGGTAATAAAACGGAGCAATATCATTCATTTTACATCTAAGTAATGACATGCTCAGAGTAATTACAGACTCCTTCTAAAAGCCTACACTGATTAGTTCAGATGTGATAGGTGAAACATATATATCTTTCCTTTCAAAAAAAATAACATTTTCTTATCTGTAAAACACACAGCAAATGTCTTTTTTTTTAAGTACTTGCGTTCCATACAGAACATCATCATTCCACACAGCCAGCTCAAAAATCTCTGTTCCTGTATTCCTTCTGCTTCCCTTTTCCTGCCTCATCCTTCCACTCCAATGTACAGCCCAGAGAAGAGCTAAATGGTTGCTGAGTGCTTGGGAATGCTGCACCTTGGCTTTGGTAGGGCTCACACGTGGGAGTTGCTCCCCAGGTTTCAGTGGGATTAGCCACAAGAGTTAATGCTGCAGGATCATGCCCAGAGGGCCTGGCCCAGCACCCATGGAAAAAAAAAAAAAAAAGAGAAGAGACACCTTTAATGCAACCAAGCAGCTTTGGGTCTGCTGCTTAATGCTCACCCTGGAGTCAGTGGGAGCCACAACAGGAGCAGAGGCACGGGTGGGCATCTTGGAAGAACTACAGCAGAAATACAGAGGAAGAAAACAAATGCCACGAGGCTAAGTTCCAGATATTTCCTAACAAACACAGGCAAAACAACCACCTTGGGTAACATTTCTACCCGAAAGGAGGTGGGACAGGTAGTGATGTAACTGCCCAGGAGCCTGAACATTTCTGAGACAAAGGGTCAGACCTTGCGAGGTGCCAACAGATCCCCTCCACACCATCATCTCCCTTGGAAAACGACATACCCTGAGCACTGCTCTTGGGCATGCACACTTCACACCACTGATGCCAGAACACAAACCCTGAGTGACAGGAAGATCAGTAATAAGATAACTGGCTCTATCTCGTTCAGCTGTAACACAACAACCCTCAAGAAGATTAAATTTACCTAACTGGGGCATGTCCAACGCTAAACAACAGAATGAACACTTCCTCCAGTACATTTAATGTATTTATATTTTAGTGGCAGGTTGCCAGCGTGCTACTTATGAGCTCAATGACTTGATATCATTCATCCTCATTCCTGTGAAACACGGGGCCATCTACACCAGGAGACAACTC